TTGAGAGTTCAATTCCAAGTTTATAGTGGAGCAACTATTGGAATTAATAAAATTAATTAATTGATTAAAGTATTTAATTAATTATTAATTTTATTAGAGATCGGGATTATAGGTCAATTAGTCCTCGCGTCGTCCTTGTAATTCTACCAGACATAAAGGACAAAATGGGAATTTTAAGATTACAGAATTCTAAAATTAAATACTCGAAAATTAATTATTATTTAAATAATGTGATTATTTAAATTTGAATTTGAATCATGAACATAATTTAAATTTATCCATTTAAATTTATTTGATAAGTTGTTCAATTTAGAATTTAAATTCCGATAAGTTTAACTTAAATTCGAATTTGAATAATTAGACTACAGGATAAATGATGATTTTCGCTGAGACAATAAATATTGATAATATATAAATATGTATATGCATATATGTTTCAGTACTTACAATGGAAAAATTCATCTATCAAAGACTTGATTGACGAAGCCATACTTAAGGCCGAGGAGGACGGGGTCAGAGTATTGAGTCTCGGTTTCTTGAATCAGGCAAGTACATACATACATACATACATATATATAGTTCCATATTTTTTTTCCCAATTTCAAGTTAATTCTATGCATTTAATTATAAAGTTAATGCCATAATATATGCAATATGCGTGAATGTCTATACAAAACGTTTATATGTGTCCTATCATGTCAAATTGCATATTGGAGTACATCTATGTTTGTTATATATGTATATGTGTGTGTGAATATATACCCACCAAAAGTTAAGATAATGATCACCACTGAGAACTAATAATGAAATGGTGTAGGATGAAATATAAATTACTTGATGTGAGTTATTTTTTGCTCTATGTATGAAGAAAGCTATATCGTGTTATTTGATTTTTCTATTCAAAAAGAAGAAAAATGTTCAACAATATTGTTCTTTAATTCTTTCTTTGATCTCAATGCGAAATGTTTTATATCAATTTTTCAGAGTATGGAGTTAAATGCATATGGCGAGCTTTATATTAACAAACATCCTCAGTTAAACATGAAGATTGTAGATGGTAGTAGCCTTGCGACGGCTGTAGTACTGAACAATATTCCAAAAGGGACAACTCAAGTTCTCTTTAGAGGAAAACTTAATAAAGTTGCTTACGCAATTGCTTTTGCTTTGTGCCAAATGGGTATCCAGGTAATATATATACAAGTGTAGACCAAATATATATATATATATATATATATATTATGGACTGAACGTAATTTTGGCAAATAATTATATCACGTATATCTATTCAACTGATTCCATATCTCACATAACAATAAAAACATCCATCACTTTTATTAAAACTTCATTAATCGAAGCTTTTAAATTTTTTAAATTAAAAGTAATGTTTTCCTCTCTTTAATATATAATAACGCTGCAGAAAAAGGGTTTTAGCAATAAAATTAAGTCGCAGAATATTTTCTTATTTCTTATATTTATAGTTCCATAACTGCAACAAAAGCAACTTTTATAGTTCAATCAAATGCGTCATACGAAGAAATCATTTATGGAAAAAATAATAATTTGGCTATAAAAAGCGAGCAACATTTATTCTATTTTATTAATGGCAGTATATGTGCACCTGAAAATAACTTAAAATTACCAGTACACTTGGATGTTGGCGCAAACTTAAAACATTTTTTAAGGTACACAGGCATTTTAATATATGTCTTGAGTATTATTTTATAAATTGTATCAACTAATTGACGTGGGCTGAATTTAATTATTTATTCAGATAGCTACATTGCATCCCGACGAGCACGAGGAACTTAATAAACACTTAACTGATGCCAAATTTGCTTGTAATTCAGTTCTCTCAAGATGTTGTTCTCATAAGGTAATATAATGTTAATTGCTTCATATTAGTACTTCTTTTTGTGCACACACATTCTAATTATGATTTGAGAACAATTCATAAGAATAATGGTATTAATTAACTTATAAAGTTTTTTACAAATTGATGTCTGGTAGACTATATATCATGTTTAGCAATGTTTTTGTTTTTAGAAATTTTTACTCTTTAAAATTTATTTTTTAAGAGTCAGACACCTTAATTCTATACTATTTAGAGCAAAAAATTTATAAAAGAAAAGGGAAAAAAATTAGAGTGCACAAAAAAATTTATAGTGATTTACCCTTATATGAGAGATGTGTCCACTCTCAGTCGTCGTAGACATTCACTACGATGAAAAAGAATATTACAAGAGAAAATCATACATATTATTGCTGCTTGGATCTAATATGTGTATATGCCTGTTTCAGATCATATTGATTTTAGTCTATTATTATCATTATAATATGTAAGCAACTCTTCGTCATGGTTTTCAAGGCTATTAGCGTTATAGTTCTTCTTCACTTCTTGAATGCAAACTATGCTACGAAGCGGTATATATAGTAGAGCAAATATAATAATAGCCACAAAAATATAAAACTTAAGAAAAATAACGACACAAGTTGCACTTCAACTACTCACACTAAACTCACGACACCTAATTGCCAACATAAAATATCAAGCATTATTTTGGGCTTGTGTATTTTGGCTGGTGATGATCTCTAACTGCCTTTCCCTTTGATATAAATTAAAACGCGTGTAATTTCTATAGTTAGAGGAGGAGATCTCTATCTATTCCTAAAACTGTATTAGTAAATGTACATAATGCAGCGGACGTAGACTTGAACGATTAATATTCACCCTAAATCCCTTGTTCATCTTATCTCTTCTTCATATTCGTTGTTATTATCACTAATGAAATACTTCCTATTCGTTGTTATTATCTCTAATCAAATTCTAATCCTAGGATTTGATTGGACTTATGTTTGAAAACTACAAAATGTATAGACTTGAACGAATCACTCATGTTCATCTTATCTTCTTCATATTTGTTGTTATCTCCAATCAAATTGTTGTCTAAGAATTTTATTGAAATTTTTTGAAAAATTTTAACCGTCTAACTTATTCCTGTAGAGGGTAAAATAAACACAAATCTTATCATGTTATTCACTCTTGTTATGACAGTAAAAAATAACTAAAATATAACACGAGTCCCGTATAATAATAACATGAGATTATTGTTGAACACCTCAGACTTTTAAGTATCCATTGGTATGTGATAATGTTGAGCGTTGTTAGTTTTATTGTCACAACAAGATACATGAGCCCCGACTGTACTATTTATGGATTGACGTTAAATTAATGTTAAGTTGACTAATGAGAAATGTACTTTTCTTCTTATCCTTTTAAGTATCCTTGTTTTTTTTGTTTGTCTCTCCTTTTTCCATTCTTATCTTTTTTACCTTATTATACATTCTCTTTTTTTTTTCTCTCCCCTAAATTGATCCTAATAAATAAACTTTTCACTTTAACTATTTTCTTCTCCTATGTATATATCCCCATCTTTTTTATAAAAAAAAAAATCTCTTCCCCTGACCAAAGGTTTTGTAACTGGTTTTTTATTTTTTATTTTTTAACTTTCCTTCCTTCTTCTGTCTTTTTTTTTTTTTTTGTCTTCCTTTTTATTTCATTCTTATCTTTTTGTGTCCTATTATACAAACATATATAAATAGATATATATTTTATTTTTTTAAATGAGACCTTACGAAATATGTTTTTTATTTTTACTTATAGAATCGTATGCACGCAGTTCCAACTAGTACACTTAAAAAAGAGAATTCAGACTTTAACACACGAGTCGGGGTTATATATGTAGTTTTTCTTTTAATTATTTGATATACGCATATATAAATGGTTTATAATCAGAAAAGAAGACCGCTGATGTACGATGGTCTCATCACCTGAGTATAATACAATATTGTGTAACATGACAGCTCTCTCTTTTAATACTATAGCTTGACTGCCTCATGACTTGCTATCAAAATCTGTAATTTAAGAACACAACATTGGCTTGCAACTCTCTCTTTGGTCGTACGTATATTCGCTATTATTAGGTACACCATTAATATACATACATACACGTATTATACATACATATACATATACACAATAAATTGAGGAAAAAGAAAACATGACAAGTGAACTTGGATCATGACGACAATATTGCATTTATCAATTCAATGTCCGAACTACTCTAAAATAGTAATTACGATCCTCCTAATTAAATTTATAAATTAAAAAAGAAGTATTTTATATTAATAGGAAATAGACTCGATATTAA